AAAAAAAATCTAAAATATACCGAAAACAAAAGTAAAATATATATCTTAATTTTATTGCTTAAGCTAGAATGATATTCAGAAAGTTGCCCGTTTCAATCTCCACTTCTGTGTTCTTATTTTATTTAAAATAAATTTGCTGGTTAAGAATTCTCAGAAAACAGCTTATGTTAAGAATACTTTCTTGAATGAAAGAATAGTGTATATAATTCCTTGAGCGAGACCTTAAGTGTTAGAGTGCAGGACTGTGGATCCTAAGGTCCATGGTTGGAGTCTCGTTGCCGTAAAAAAACATTAAGATTCACACTTTGAGGCCGTGAATTCGTTGTGAGAATGACTACAAAGAAAAATAATTTATAAATAAACGAACCGCATGTGTTCAATAGCATTGGATACTTTGTATTTGCTTTCAAACTGATTACATTATAATTACGTTTCGTATCTGTTTGCGCCGTTGCTTACCAGGGGGACTGCACATCGAATCACTTCTAAAAACGAAAGCGACTAAACTTTGTGTTTTAAAAACTTCTAACATTTTGTGACAAAAATACATCAAGTTCCATATAGTCATAGACAATTTTCAGAAACAAACACACTCAGTACTCTGTGTAAAATACTGATGTCAGTGAAATGCGGGAACAATTAACTCCAGTGAGGAAGAGGTGATCAATCATAGTCATTGAAGATGTGCATCTGGTTTGTATTTTTAATAAAGGATGTAAACGTTACTTGGTAACCATCTGTCTTAACAACCAATCTAATACGAATGAATCTTTTCTCTTTGTAAGGTTCATATATATATAGAGAGAGTTAGGGTTAAGCTTGGTTTAGACGAGTTACTGAATTCAGACATTAACTTTTCAGCTATGCTATGGTATCTATTTATTTTCTTACATTATTTGTTTTTATTTTAAGTAGAAACTTTAGTTTCGGGATGAAAATTCAAAGTTGGGGTTTGTTTTGAGTCGTTTACTACAGCATAGATCCAATCAGAACGTGAATTTCATAATATGTAGCCAATGATCATGTAGAACTTTCTCTGTTTTATACATACATACAACTTAAGGATAACAAGAGGCCTGTTGGTCTATCTAGGCCGTCCCATCCACTAAATTAAACTTTCATAATATGTAGCCAATGATCATGTAGAACTTTCTCTGCTTTATACATACATACAACTTAAGGATAACAAGAGGCCTGTTGGTCTATCTAGGCCGTCTCATCCACTAAATTAAACTTTCAGATAAAGATAAAACACTCAAAGCCAGCAATTCAATGTTTATCAAGCCTACCCTTAAACTCCCTTACATTAACTACATGCAGCCCATTCCAAAGGCCAACCACTCTGTTATCAAAATAAAGCTGTCGTAGTTGAAAATGACTCTTACCCTGCCCAAATATATATCTGTGTCTCCTTTACTTACCATTCTCATCATTAAATACGAAAAAAGATGATACAACAACCCTATAAATGTTCTTATTAATCTTAACACCTCAGTCAGATCCTCTCTAAGAAGACCAAAGAACTTAACCTACCGTCGTCATGCTTCGGTTTTAATAGTGCTGTTTTCTTTATTAACAGTTATGTCCTTTAAAGACTGGTTCGAAACCTGGTTCTGTTCTTATAACGTTGGTTTTTTATTAATAGAAACGTCTTTTAACAAATGATTCAAACCTGATTATATTGTAATAATGTTTCTTTATTAATAGAAACGTCTTTTAACAAATGATTCAAACCTGATTATATTGTAATAATGTTTCTTTATTAATAGAAACGTCTTTTAACAAATGATTCAAACCTGATTATATTGTAATAATGTTTCTTT